CATCGCAGATTGAGAAGTCAATCTGAAGGAGCAGAGGCTGTACACCAAGGCTCTCCCGAATGTCATTGTTCCGGATAGTGTCGAGACGCATAAGGCCAGCGACTCATCTAAGAAAGCCCATTTCAGCAGCTTGTTCCCGGGTTCGAAGGTTTTCAGTCATGGTCCACGACTCATGACCGTAGGTGAGTAGGGGGATAAATCGACTTGAGCACCGAGTGCTTAGTTTTCAGACTGAGCCCTGCTTTAATCACAGTGGCTAGGGCTAGATCATGCAAAACGCCACTGGCTACTCTAACTCGCCGGTCGATCTCTTCGATAAATTTTCCATCACTAGTGAACACGACCATGACGTACTTGAACTTCTCAACCTGCTCTACCGCCTCTCCATTAATCTGAAGAGAGCAACGGGCAGTAGAACGAGGCAGTACTAGGCTTTTCGTCTTAGATGCGTTCACACGCATCTAGTCTACAGCGCACTCGGCTACGAACCTTTCTAGGGAGCTCTCTTGGTCATTTTCAGAAGACGCCAGTAGAATAAAGTCGTCCGCAAACACCAGCCTTCTCGTCTTCGCATCTCCTACACAGAGGCACTCGTCGCTTTGGCAGCTCCTGACTATTCTATCCACGTACAACACAAACAGCATAGGGGACAGGACGCAGCCTTGACGGAGACCACAGACTGTTGCGTGGGATCCGGCCATAGGCATTTTCTAGGTCCACAAAATACATCTACATCGGATAGGCGTACTACCACGATTTCTTAACCATGTGGCGCATGGCAAATATATGGTTAGAGGTGATTCGACTCGGCCGGAAGCCACACTGCTGTTCTTGGATCTTGAGGTCAACTGTTTCACGGCACTTCCTTTCTAGCACCTTTGCGTAGACTACCTAGGAGGCTCAATAACTTTATGCCCCTATTATTAGAGCATTCCTTGTGGTCTTCGTTCTTGAATACGGGTACAATAACTCCCGTTCTCCAGTCCGCTGGTGTCTTTCCCGTAGTCATCGCAGTTTGACAGACACGTGTAAACCAACACATGCCTTGTTCGTCTGATGCTTTGAGCATCTCAGAGCGGACATCAATTCCAGCAGCCTTTCCATTTTTCAATCTTTTCACAGCTTGTGTAATTAATTCTATACAGATAGTAATATCCGTCCTCTGCTGCTTTACAGGCGAGTCTTCCTGTGGTTATGCGGGGTTAAGGAGTTCCTCAAAGTTCTCCCTTACTTTGAGGGATTAATAATGTTGTATCTTGACAGAGCCAGGTCTAGATATAAGTTTATTGCGATGTCCGAGCCAAGCAAAGCAAACTCACATAAGACGAGACGATACTACTTGATGAACAAGTGACAAAATGATGGATTTATATACTCGACGATTGGCGCGTAGTAGATGGCTATCGCATAGTTACTAACGCCTAGAGCGCATGGTTTGAGCTGAGCTGATTACGTGGCGATGTTTTGTCGATTAGATCCCTATGTACAAACAAAGTAGTCTGTCGCGCGATTACCTCATGGCGATCAGCTATGATCGCTCTTAACAAGTGATTGGTTGTGTAACTTGGATCGTAGTCCCGCACGCAGATCCGCCCCTCTATCCAAC